GTGGGTTTTTGGTAGCATGTAATATGTAATAGTATTTTGGCAGCTACATGGAGCTGAGTTTTGCAGAGGGAGAGAGATGTTGGGTGGATAACTGTAGATATTACCTGGCAGTTTCTCTGTCTTGTCTGAAAAACAGAATCAGAGATATTGTAGGCTCGACATTATAGTTGGTTGTTCTGGTAAAGGGGAATTTGTGTTGTTTGTTTGTTTGTTTTATTTTATTGCCTAGAATAAAACAGAGCAGACGAAGCATTCTCAGTCGAGCTTCAAGGATCCCGATCGCTTTCTCAGCCGACTGGTCTTTGGGGAAGACGGCTGATGAGAAGTGTTGTTTAATTAATTTCTTTTTTTAAACAGGCTTTGGTAATTCGATTCTACGCATGTGGACGCATGCTAAATTGGTTAATTTTGTAACCAATTTAGTTTTCAATCAGGTGTTGCTTTAAAAAATTAAACCTGGCATTTTGTTTCTTTATTGGAATACTGGAGTAACTGGGCGATAACAACAATGTGTGCAGTTCAAAATTTAAAAGCAAATAGTAAGAAGAGAGCTGCCCAAAAAATGAGTATTGAAGTATTGAAATCTTTAGGTACACTCAAAGCAGTTTGTGGCACAGCCTCTTCCTCTTCCTTATGAGAGAGAGGATAGCTAGTGTTGCATTATTAGCTTTTGATTTTGCCTTTGTGTCCTCAGCCCAACTTGAATCTGAATATTTTTTGAATATTTTCATTCTGTTTTTGTCCTCACTGTGAGCAGATCACCTTAAATTACCAACACTGAGAGGCATTATTAAATTGGTGGCTGTGGCTCAGGTGGCAGAGCACTTGTTGTTTGATTGCAGGTTGAGTGATTTAATTCCTGGCCTTGGACTCAGTAGATGGCTTTAGGCCGTTCACTTCTGTAATCAATATGGAGCTACGGTTAATTGAAAAGCCAACTGTAGTCTCTTCTGTCAGAGAATGCAGCTTTTAGCAACTCAGATTTTCTCTGGTTTTGTTGTAAATTTCCATGTTTGCTTATTGAAGCAAAAGGTTGAACACTTCAGACTTTTTTTCTGGCATTTTGTGAACTAAATGATCATTTATTAAGAAAGCAAGAGAAAAAAAATGACAGGTTAATGAAAAAAATATTCGCAGCTCCTGAAAAGTGAAATGTCACGGGCTGCGATGGCAGACCGTGGAGTTGCAAATCCCGGCACTGTGGTCCCGTGGCGATTCTCCCTGAATCCCACACAGTGCAGATGTTCGTGAAAGGTGAAACAGTGGCGACTCCAAAAACTCCAAAACACACTCCGCTCCAGATTCCTGGTGACACAAACACATACAGGTTAGCAGGGAATCTACGTTCTCGAAGGTTTATACCAAGTCCACGGCTGTACTGACGAGTTCTGACTCAAGGATCCAGCGTCGGCCTCAGCTCAGCTACAGTCTTAAATGCCGCTCCCTTGACGGGCGTAATCTGCTGCAGCTGGCAGAGGAC